CACCTCAAAACCAAATGAGAGAATTACTTCGTGAAACTTGTAATACCACTGACGAGACGCCTGTTTTAGTCTATAAATGGATTTTGTCAATTTTCAAACCATATTCTTTGAGTCTCCTGACACAAAGTTTTCTGGTTGCATCATATAGGTTGTTTCATCAACGTTGCCATTGAGGAAAGTTGTCTTGACATCCATTTGATGGAGTTCCAAACATAATGTGCAACAAGAGTTATGATTGTCCTAAAAGAGTCTTTCGATGAAACCGGAGAGAAAGTATCTTTAAATTCAATCCCTTCCTTTTGAGTATAGCCCTTAGCCACAAGACGAGCCTTATACCTCTCCACATTACCGTTAGAATCACGTTTGGTCTTAAAAATCCATTTGCAACCAATGGGGTTCACACCTTCTGGTAATGGGACAAGCTCCTAAACTTTATTGTCTTGCATGGACTTATACTCCTCCTTCATTGCTTCAATCTACTTTTCCGAGTTGGAACCCTGCATGGCTTGACGAAAGTTGATTGGATCATCTTCCAGCATACCATTATTTTCCTCATGTTCTTGGAGAATGACTATGTCATCATCCAGAACAGCATTTCTCATTTCTCTAGTGGATCTCCGCAAAGGTATTGGTTCTTGTAACACTTGTTCTTAAGGATTTTTAGTGTGTTCTTCATGAATTACTAAATCATCTTGAGCTTGAGAAATTGCAACAATGTCTTGTGTAGGTTCCATACTTGCTTGATCAAAAGCAACTATATTAGTTGGTTCTCAAATTGTTATCGATTTTTCCTCTAAGACAAAGTCTCTAACCTTATTCTTCTCCCCAAAATAAATATCCTCAAAGAGTATGGTTGTTCCTGTCTCAAAAATTTAATTTAATTTGGGATCATAAAATTTGTAGCCCCTAGATCTTTCAGAATAACCAATAAAGTAGTTGCTCACTGTTCGAGAGTCCAATTTCTTTTCATTTGGCCTATAAGGCCCTGCCTCAGTTGAACATCCCCACACATGAAAATGTTTGAGACTAGACTTTTTTCCGGTCCAAATCTCATAAGGTGTTTTGGCAGCTGCTTTTGTTGGTACTCTATTTAGAATATAAGCTGCAATATTTAGTGTCTCTCCCTAGAGTGACTGTGACAAGGTAGAATGACAAATCATACTCTTTACCATATCTTCAAGAGTCTATTTTCGTCTTTCAGCAACATCGCTCATGCTAGGAGTTCCTGGCATGGTGTACTGTAGGACGATTCCATATTCCTCAAGGTATTTGGCAAAAGGCCATTGGCGTTGTTCACCTGAACCGTCATATCTACCGTAATATTCACCGCCACGATCGGATTTGACTTTCTTAATTCTTTTGTCAAGTTGATTCTCAACTTCAGCCTTAAACAATTTGAACACATCCAATGGTTGAGAATTTTCATGTATAAGAAATATGTATACATATCTAGAATAATCGTCTATGAATGATATAAAATATTGTTGAACATTCCAAGAAGGTGTCGGAAATGGTCCACATATGCCTGTATGTATCAATTCTAAGACATTTGTAGCTCTATATGCACCAAATTTCTTTGTTTTAGTCTATTTTTCTTTAACGTATTCAACATAAACATCAAAGTTTGTGAATTCAATGGAATCCAAAATTCCATCTGACACTAGTCGCTCAACTCTATTTTTAGAGATATGACCTAGGCATTTGTGTCATAGTGCTCCTGAACTGTTATCCTCAATTTTACGCTTAGTACCGCATGATTCCACATTCAAGAATTCGTCATAGGTAGCTATTGTGTCAAGTAAATATAGATTATCATGACCCATAAGTGACTAGTCCCAACAATATTTGAATTGAAATACAGCTTGAACATATTGTTTCCAAATGAACAAAAATAACCTGATTTGTCCAAATAAGAAACTGAAATCAAATTCCGTCTAAATGACGGAACCACCAAAGTGTCTTTCAAATCCAAATAAAAGCTGGTACTCATTAATAATCTAAAATATCCTATAGCTTCCACCTCCACTGACTTGTCATCTCCAACATAGATGTATCTTTCAACATCATTTGACTTTCGATAGTTCAGGCAACCATTTATTGAAACACTGATGTTAGTAGTTGCACTAGAGTCTAACCACCAAGTGTTTCCAGGCACTAAGGCTAAATTGACCTCAGAACAGACCAAACCATGACTCATGCAATTAGAGCGATCTCACTTCTCATAATGCAAGGTCAAGATCCATGCATCCAAGAACAATTTCCATGTTCTCATTCCAATCCTTAAAATCTATCCCATTAAGGACCTGAACCTTATTCATATTAGCAGATATTGAATCAACTGTAGCTGAAAAAGAACAAAAATTAAACATTTTAAATATACTCACATAAATTAAAAAACCGAATCATCAATGTTGTTCAAATAAAGGCATAACCCATCTCAAGATATCCAGTGCACCACCAATATCAAGTCTTTGGACAGTAATATCGACTGATAGTGGTACTCTTGTTGTAACGATCAAACATTGATAATAAAAACATATCGAATAATAAACCCCTCTTTGGATTGATTTATTATTTACATGTAGGACCTCATAATTATCACATGTTTACCATCACAGATGCGTATGAAAACCGACCAACCACCAATTATCCTTTGGGTTAATTGATACTCGCATGGACAAACATACACACAAACCATAAAAATATTTAACATTTTTCATAAGCAATTGTTATAAAAGAGGTCACTTTGGCGACTTTTTCATTTCAACTACTTACCTAAAAATGTTAAATGACTGTATAAAAATATATTTTGTAGCCAAATTTGAACAAAATTGAACCAAAGAAAAATTGAAATTAAATTCAAATCAAAAACACCAATGCATTTTATTTTACTGTTACGATATTATACTAAGTTTAATTTCAAAATATAAAATCACATATATTATCTATAATAAATAATAAATAATCTAAAAAAACATATAATTCTTTTAAACTAAAAAAATAAATTATAATGCAGTTATTAAAAAGAAAAATTGATCCTTGTTTTTATCCTTATACACCGCATAGAAAGACTTGGAGAAAAAGTTCAACAAAACTATGAACAATTTCATTACAAACTGAAGATGGAACCATATTGTCAGTTTTATTACCTTTAGCTGCAGACGTGTTGGTTGTTAGGTACAACAACTCTATATATAGCATTATCCTTTGAAATGCATCTAAGTGCAATTTACATAGAAAATATTTATTTGATCAAAAATATAATATTTAATAATGGTTAGAATATAAGCAGAAGAAAACAGAGAGATATAGATGAATCTAGTCGTTCAACAGAATGACTATTTTATTTGGAGATTACAGGTGACAAAGAGTAGTCTAGTCAAAACCAACAAAAGACACTATTATAATAATAACAAAAGAGTGTAAGAACAAAAAAGTTTCCGTATAAGAGCAAATAAAATTGACAAATTCAACCTGACATTTAATTTCAAATTCAAGATTTTGAGCACAAAAATTTTGTAAGATCAAAATGGATCTCAATTTTAGAACCCTAAGATTTATACAATTGAAAGATTAAAGGATCTTAAATAACCCAAAAAACAAATTGAATCAGATAGGGGTGGCTCTGATATCATTTGTTAGATCCGCTCATAACCTTATTATTTCTATTGATATAGAAATTAAGAACAGAACTTTAAAATAATCTCTATGATTTGATATATCATTAACTTGTATCCCTTAAATCTATATCAAAAATATTCAATCACAAAATAACAGCGGAAGCGTACCTGAATTTGCCATTGAAATTGTTGAAGGTTACAGGTATATGATCTTCCGATTCGTAAAGTTCCTTAGGGTTCCTTGAATCTTCTTTGATGGGGATGAAGAGAGAAAACTTGAGAAACCTTATTTTTGTTCGTACTCTACAAATGGGGACCATAACCCATTTAAATAACCCTAGAATTATTTCTTAGTTCTCAATATTCTAATTTAACCCCTCATTAAATTAGATATTGACTTACGATATCTACACAATAACATGATCTTTCATGACATTTATGCTTTTAGCCACAAACTTAATATTATACTAATTAGACTCTTCTAAATCTTGACTAATTAAAATACTTACACTAACACCTTAAATATAACATTTGTAACTCAAAATTCTAACATCATCAACTAGTTTGATAATAGAAAATATCAATATACAAAAATCAAATATTACTTAAATCAAAATACTTTGAATATTGATATGTATGTAGTAGTCCAAACTCACCTTAAAGGGTGACGCTGCCCAATTGTGAGATAAACTACACTCTATAGACATGGAGCTGACTAAACTCTATAGACAGGAAGCTGGTTGACCCATGAATCATATAATAGTTTGTCAAATATTCTCTATCCTATTTATAAAAAAAAGTTTATTTTTTAATTTATAAAATAATTAAAATATCTAATTATATTATTCACATATGTTAATTATTTAATACATTTAAAAAGTATTTTTTTTATAAATGGTATTTTGCTGCCAAATTTAAAGAAACAAAAATATTAAAAGATAATAACCTTTTTTAACAAAATAAGTGAGATCAACTAACTATATATAAACTAGTCATTGAACCGAACAAATCCATCATTTAGGAAAATTCTTAGATAGAATGGGAGATTTCCAATTTAAAAAACAAATATTAAATAAATTTAAAGTTTTCTTTCTCTTTAAATTTGTTTCCATGCAAGAATTTCTCCCATCACTTATTTCACATATTCACATAAATTGTGACTAACTTTTCCCACAAACAGTTGTGAATTGTCAAACTCATACTATTGGTTTGTTTTCGTTGTCCTTATCATAACATAGCTTGAATAAACACATACAGAAAAACTTCTGGCTTTTATGTCCTATTTTATATATCAAAAAACATAGAAGTAACAGCTTCTAAACTGTGCAGAAACATATATGCAAGCGTGTATATATCATAAACAAAAAAAGCTGCACAAAATCAAATAGATAAAAAAGCTAGTAATACAGAGAAAACTAAAGGTCTCATTGCAACCGGTACTGCGTCTGGAGGCGGGTAGACATGGCCGTTATGTGGCGGATAAAAGTAACCCGCTGGAGTTTGTTGATACTCACTGTAGGACGGTGACTGAGGAGGAGGATACACAACAGGGTAAGGCGAAGAAGTAGACCCCACTGCCGGAGAAGGATAACCCGGTTCCGCGTTCTGGTTCACGTGATCAGTGATTTTGTAGGAAAAATTAACAGAACCTTTTGGTTTTCCAGACGGTTTTCTAACTTGGTAACTAACATGTTGGAAGGTTTTTCCATCACCGGTTTGTTTGAGAAGCTCACCGAGAGGAACTTGGACGCTACCGACATCTTTATCGATGGCGCGGCTGCCGGAACAGCGAAGGTTGATCTCGAGAGTCAAACGATTATGGTGAGCTAGCACTTCACTGAAAGGGAGTTTAACGGAGAAATTCCAAGCGGGGTTAGTACCTCCTTCTCTGTCAAGGGGTGTTTTAGTCTTTAGATTATTGAACGGGTTTCCAGAGATTGAAACGACGGCGTAGACTTGCATTCTGGAGAAGAGGTTAACTTTGTTGAGATCTTTTGCTGATGCGAGATTGAGTTGTAAAGTTTTGAAGACCATTATGTTATGTTTTGGTTGTATGAGAAAGGAATAGAGTTTGTTTACACAATGATAAGTCAGTTTATATAGAAATATAGGTGAACTGATGATAACCTATAGAGAAATAATCCAGGAACTTTCTCGTCTAGGAAGAACACGCGTTTCTGTTTTTTCTTCCTAACTTCTAATTAGTAGGTTTGAATAGAGGTGTTCATGTTGTTTTAGTTGACAAATAAGAAAAAATGTAATGAAAAGAATTCAAAATTGATTGGTGTACTAAAATATTAGGAGAGTGGCTAGTTTTAGAAACCACAACTTGAGTTTTACTCGTAGGGCCATGGTAGCCCACATGCTAATCCATCATTTTCACCGATTAAATTATTGTTTTTTTATTGAGGAAACTTTTTGTATGACTTAGTCCAATTTAAATTAAATTGGTGTGATATAATATAAACGAGTTTTGTTTGAAAACAACTTCTACTTAGATTTTGTTAGGATTTGATAAAGTTGGGCTAGTATATGAGTCACTCCATTACACTTTATATCAATGTATTTAGTATTTAGTGAACTTATTTTCTTCTAGTCTTCTATTAAGATATTATTTGAATTTTAAAAAAAATTTAAAATACAATTTAAATTTTATGATATATTTTAAGATTATTGATCCGCGGTCGCTCGCGGATCAAAAACGAGTAGTTTTGATAAAAATGTAATATAGCGACAAATGATTCGAAATATCGTCTCACAAGGATTCTTGTAGTGATTGACCAATAAAGTAATAATTTATGGGGGTTTGAATTTTGATTAAGAGAAAAAATACTGAAAATAAGTGATTATAAAAAAAATGATTATTAAAATAAGATAAAACGGCTAATCCTACTGATTCGGGTTCCGACTTATCATCGACTATTATAACATCAATCCCTAAACGGCTTCAATCCTATTCGATTATGATATTAATCAGACAAGCGCTTACCAACATCAAATGAATTATGTTCCTGTTTACCGAATTAAGCAAACGGTTAAGAATATGACGAATTAACGAATTAAGCAAACGATAACACGCAATTAAATTTAGGAACATGCATACAATCGAATTTAATCAATTCTATCCTATGAACAACAATTGAATTAAGCAAACAATTGCAATCAAATTAAGCAAATGACTTCATAGAAAAGGATTGAAAGGAATCAGATTTAAATTGATATTATAATAACCTCAAAGTGTTGAAACCATACACAGCAGGATTTGCCCGGAGGTATTAGTTTTCCATGAGTTCTTCTCAAAGGTTTTTTTTTATTTTTTCGTGAATAGTGAATAGGATTTTTGGCTGTACGGCCAGACCTAGACTAAACAGGAGACAAAAGAAAATTCGGGTCATAACCCAACTGGGTCGAAAACATAACCCAGACCCAAAACTAAAACAAATTCCTAATGATGTAACTTCAACGAATATTCTGGAAAAATGTGCTCTGAATCTGACTTCAACTCCAACACGAAAGTCGTAGCTCTCTCTGTTAGCTTTCCAACGATATTTAGAACGCCTCAAACGGATTCCCGGAGCTCCAGTTATGATCGTTTCCGTGCAGACTGCTAAAGCTGAAAAATAAGTGCGAAAATTAAATTAAACCAAAAATAAAATAAAATATGAAAACATAATAAAATATAATAATAAGCAAAATAAAATAAAGAAATGCTTAAGTAAAAATATAGGAGAATGTGCATAAATATGCACTGATCAATTATGTTTGGATTTATGAAACAAAATGTGATGGAATTAGATAAATTTAAGTTATATTATTTTGATTAAGTAAAAATAAATGGAATGGAACGAAATTGAGTGGAATGCATTTCATTTAATTTTATTATTTTTTATTATTTTTTATATCTCTGATTTGAGTAGAATAACAAAATTACTTTATTCGGCATGGAATGCCCAAATAATAGAATGAGATTTTATTGTATTATGTTCCATTCTCTTATATTTGAATATTTTACACCATTCGGTTTACCATATCTAAACATTAAATGTTTGAGTTTGCAAATTTTAATGTTTTTTTAATTTTGTAATTAAATATTCAACATTAACAGTAATTAAATCAATTCAACAATAATATATCAATTAAATACAAACAAGATCGTGGAAGGAATAAGATCATGAAAGAGACAAATTAGTTTTGTCATCGAATTCAACCATGGGCATTTCGATTTCTTCAAATATCTTAAGAAGAATCAAGCTTTAACTGATAGTACATGCAAATCTGTTCAGGGAACACTACTACAAAAAAAAAATTTCCCTCGGTTGCAAAATGGTTTTTAACTTGATTTGGTAGCGGAGGTAACATAGGGTGTCATGGAAAGGGTGATACTTTTTTCTCGGGTCACTGTCGGGCAGACCCGACCCAACACTAAGTTGGGAAGGTCCAACAAAGCCCAATCTTCCTTCATGTCGGGCACACGTAATTTTGTATTCGGGCAAACCACTACCTAGCGCAGGAAGAGCTCACACGTCTTCCCCACGTTCTCCACGTGGCCCCCACGCGGGGACACATCATTAGACAACTATCCACTATCGAAAGAACTGGTCAGCCCACCTTTTGAAGATCACGGGGCAGTTGATCCAGGGCGAAGACCACGTTCTGGTCTTCCCTGCGCCATGTAAGCCCTGACAGTTACTTGTATTGGGTCTTGCAATCCAACCCAATGCAAAGTAATTGTTGGTCCTGCGTTGGGGGCACATTATAAATACCCTCTTTCACTAGAGGGTAAGGTATTTCATTCAACACACATATTCTCCCTGTACTTGCTCTTTCTAAACTATGTTACTCACTTAGGCATCAGAGTACCTTGCAAGTACACCCCCTCCTCCTCTTCAACACTGGTGAACATAGAAGCTTACGACGCGTGGCTGTTAGATGCCAAATTTCACTTATTTGATCTATCAAATGTTGGCATCTTTCACTCATTTTTGTCAATTAAGTGTTGAAAACCACTCTTGTTTTGGTTGGTTTGTAACATTATGAGAAAATATCTTGGTACCTTTGATTTGTGTGTTATTGTGCAGGAATTAGGCACAAAACAAGTGAAGAGTAAGACACAAAAAATGGGCAAGGAAACCAAGACAACATGCAAACCACCAAAATGTTGTCACGCTCGCTAGGCGAGCAAGTAGCGAACGTGCCAGCGAAGGCTTCGCTAGCTTGCTCGCTAGTCGAGCAGGCCAGCGAACGTGCCCAGAATTGGACAGTGCCAAAAGTATCAAAAGTTCGCTAGGTTCGCTAGGCGAACAAGACAGATCCTGAGTGTTATATTTAAGTGTTTTTACTGCTTTTTAGGTCAGAACTTTTCATAACTTCATTTTGTAACATTTTGGAACATCAGAACTTATCTCTCTTCATTTTCTAGAGAGAGAAACACAAAACCCTAAGAGAGAGGAGGTAAGATCTTCGATCTCTTGTTGGGGTTTGGATTGTAATCTTTTGATACCTTATGTATTTCATCTAATTTATGTTTGTGAACTAATTTGGATTATCTATTGGTTGATTATCTTTGATTGCTTATTTGTGGGTCTTGACAAAACCTTTTCACATCTTTGATCTCAGATCTTCTTTTATCAATGAACAAACTTTTGACATGCTTTTGAAGTTGATATTCATTTTATCCTCTATGGTATTGTGTTGATTAAGTAGCATGGGTAGCATGGGTAGGATCAATATAATATTGTATGGGTATGTGATAATAGTGATGAAGAATGATGTTCACAACCATTTGGCGGATTAGATGAATACATGTAAAAAGGGTTAAGCGTGTGTACGTATTTTGATCATTGTATTTTATGCAAAACAATCGTTTATCCGATATGGGTGTTATCCTTGCTTATCTGTTTATCATTGATTTGAATCGTGATAGAGATATACTTTTCAGATCTGGATCTAGGATGATTACATGTTAGGTCCTAAATTCTAGAGATAGATTTAGGCTTAGCATTTGCGTGAGTATCAGATCTTAATGCTCTGTGTTGTGTTTTTGTTGGGTGAGAGATCACCAATGAGACAACACGGTTGTTCTCTCGACGCTGCATTAGAGATAAACTTTGTCGTGAGTGATACATAAGGATATTAGACGAATGATTGCGTTGTGTTTAATTTGATCAGAAGAATGCATATGTTATCAATTGATGAAATCCAATCCTAACAAGGCTCCGTTTATATTTCAGTCTTTATTTTATACGTTCTATTTTTATTTATGGTTCCTTGAACCTTTTAAACCAAACCTTTTGAACAATAAGCTTAGAAATGTAGAAATCGTTGAACGGCATTCATATCACACTAATCCCTGGGGAGACGATAAATTCTGGAGAAAATTCTTCCGAAAATAATATTTTTGCTTGCTGCTTTACCGCATCAACAGTGGCAGGCCGCTGATTCCTTTCTGATCAGGTAAGATCAGTGGCGCCGTATGTGGGAACCTTTTGCTCCCCCGTTCTTTCTCCTATACAAGCATAGAAGCTCAAGAACCAAAGAACCATCCAACTTCCATTTGATCATGGCCAACCCACGCAACGGCAACGCTTCATAAACCGCATTTGTTCTCTTCACCAACCGTGACGGCCATGATTCCAATGTGATTGTCCACGTCGAGGAGGGAGACTCCAGGGAAGGGCACACCGCCTCTCCCTCCTCGGAAGACGTGGCCTTCAACGCCGCCCAATGCTTTGATAGTCTGGATGTCTACCAGCTAATCCCGGTGCCACCCAACGCCAACTCTACCATGGTGGCTCTATTCGCGACGATCAACCAGACCAACTTAATGATCTTCCAACAAAATAAGCGGATAGGGATGCTTGAGAAGGAGAGACAACCACGCTCTCCCCCCGCAGAGATATCGTCGCCCCGTTTCTAGCAGCCCCTCTCCTCCCCCGCAGAAGACGTGACACAACGACTCCTGGAGCCTCTCTCCTCGACTAACTGGACATCGCCCTCGCTTGGAGCAGCTTGAGACGATGGCCTCTCAAAAGCGC